TCTAAAACGACCTTGTTGAAAACTTTTAGCTCTAGAATCTAACGCGAGGCCAATCTTTTACAAAACATTTCTCACTAGAAACTATCTGATCTAGAAATTAAAAGTCGTTTTTACATGATCAACTCCATGGACAATTACTTTTCATCTGTACTGCATCTATAAAACAGGAGTTTCTTAGTTGAATCTGGTTCCTTCCAGAGATCTAGAAGGAAAACTAGTTTAATGAACTGTTAAACAATTAAATGGCAAGTAACATGAATACTTCTATTTCTCTTTTAAAATTCTTACTTCATTCATGCCATTATTTAATTATCTACCCGTGCTCTCTGACATGTGTTGTAAAGAAAAACACCAAACACGTGCGTGTCTATGTACAAGTGTTCAACACTACCGCCAACGTGTTAAAATTTAACATAACCAGACCTCAGAACACACCTTATATTCATCTCTAAACCCTGAGGTACTATTCTCAAAAGTGGCTAACTCTGAAGTGTAGCGTCAGAGAGCCTAACTACATTCATTCAACCTTTAGCATATATTCACAATAATTTGCTCTTTTTACAGTCATACGAATACGTTAAAATTTTGGCATTACTCTAACATTTTCACTTTTAACATATCACAGTATTTCTTAACTTTTAAGATAACAGTTCACATTGTACATAAGGACATATTAATATGCCGTTAATTTGACGCATTTTAAAACATACATTAGTAGTACAATGTTTGTTAACTTTTATTTCTTTCCAAGCAAGTGCTAATTCTTCTACATTGAAATACTATATTTCAAAAGTCCTTCAGACTAAAACTTTTTTTTCTGGACCGAATCTTTTAAATAAAATTTTATACAATAATTTTACAATTTTCTTAAGGTACCTTTCTCAAAGATTACCCATCCTTTAACAATATTCGAGTATTTACACATTCCTATTATACAATAATTTTAGTTTTACTCGCGAGTAATTGAAAAACATAATAAAAAATAGATAAAACTCATTTCTCGCCTTTTTGGCGATAAAGGTAGGCCTCACATGAGGTAAAACTTCTTAAATTCTGCCACTTGCAGTAAGAACGAAAAATTAACTTAAAGTTTCAAAGTAACATAGAGTTTTACTTATCTTTGTGACATTCAGACATCCTTTTTGCTTCCCAGTCCTGGAAAGTGGCGAAGACTACCGTCTGGTTTATCCTCCGTTTTGTGCGGGTTCGCCCTTCGATTCCTTCCTCCGTGAGCTTTCTTTTTTTTTCCAGTATGTTCACCCTTGGAGAACTTTTTTTAACATCTGCTTGTACTCCCGGCCGCGTATTTCCAAACCTAAGGCTCTGACCTAAGACGAATTTCTGACGTCACGGAAATATCGACTAGTTTCACCTAGAGCTACTAGAGATGCAGGCTGACTCGTCAGCCATTTTGAATCTAAGCTTTAGGGTTGCAATTTAGGTGTGGAGCGGCAACTTTGGCTCTTTAGCGCTGTCCGCTAAAATTTAACATTCTAGAGAATCCGAATTTCAGCTTTTTTCTGCACTCCTATAAAGACGTGTGGCTTTTTCCCCTTCTTTTGTCTGCAGTTCAGATTCTTTCTCGTATTTTTTTTTTAAATTGCCAAATTTCTCGTATGATTCAAGTTATTTTAAAAGTTTCTAAAACATTTTCACATATCATATTTCAAATTTGTATTTTTAGTTAAAAATGCTTTCTTTTTTGAATTCCTTTATTGAATTTTCAATTTTTTCTTTTAAATACACGCATAATGTTATTTATCTCAAAATGTATTTTTTGACAAGAGCTTTCCCTCAACCACATTCTTAATATGGTTGAGGGAAATCCCTCAACCTCCATTAATTTAGGATAAGGTTTAATCTTTAATTTTTGTTTTTTATTTTTAATATGTTATTTGAATTTTGCTCACATGGAATCAAACGTCTATTACTGTAGCAAATTTGTTAAAAATGTTATTTTGTGTGTGTTTCCAGAAAAAGCTGCTAAACACTTTATGATTTTAAATACTAATTCAAGATATACTACACCTTTAAATTATAATGCTTTTAGAATGAAGTGCAGAATGCTATAAAAATTACTTCAATGCTCAGATGACTGTGGGATTCATAGATTTAATAGAGTAAAAAATTCCATTAATTTTTTTTTTCTTTATTTAGCTATAAACAATATTAAAATAATACACACACAAATAAATAAAAATAAAAATAATACCTTTACATACAGAATTTACAGATACTATTTACTTATAAGTTTATTTTGTTGTTGATGGTTACTTTTTATTATACTTGGAAAAATTATACTTACATACATACGCTCTTAATATTACACGTATCTGAATATTTAAATGATAATTCCATAACATAATAAGATTCAATCTATATCACAGCAAAGACAATACTTGAATCACAGTTTTTTATTATTAATTTGCATAAGTAAAAACATAAAAATATTATTTAGCTTCAAATCTATAAAATAAGTCCTCTAGTAACAAACATATGACAAACACATATAGTGAAAATAAAGATAAATAAATAAAAATGTTTTGCTTTTTGGTCTAATGTAGTGCAATTCAGTCTATTATATTCAAATTTTATTAAAACATACTGCAGTAATTGAATTTTTTCCATTATACATCAAACAGCTTTATATAGAATGATATTATATTAGTTTTACTTTTAAAACTAATATAATATAATTAATTCTCATTTATTTGCGGAGATGTTTGAATAAATGCAAAAAACCATCTGAATAAATTTTAGCCAACACTATTCAGATAGTATTCTTGTTTTCAAGGTATATCATTTTTATTTTGTTCTTTTTCCATTAAAGGAGCTAACCTAAGACCACAAAGGTTCGATAATATTCAGGTCTGGTGACTGCAGGGCCGGATTAAGGGTGTCGTAGGCCCTAGGCACTCCAGCAGCGTAGGCCCCCGAAATAATAAACATTTTTTAACTGAAATTGACCGCTAATATTAAGTAATAATTTTGTTGTAGATATAAATCCGAAAATGTGATGATGCGGTAAAATAACATTATTTTATTTTGGGATTTTAATGTTTTTATTTTTCATAGAGCCATTTTCAATAGCCATAATTCCAGAATTGAGTTTATCTGCAACAATGCAACTTTTATATCTACCAAAATTCCATGCAGAATTCCAGGGTTTTAGTACATGAACATGACAAGACATTAGCCGCCGGGAAAACCTCTCGGACGGGCACATGCGTTTGACACAGTTGGCCACGTTTCCATGCCCACTACCAAACGCTTGCGCGCGATCGAGAGGTTTTCCCTGCTGCTAAGGTCTTTTGTTTTAGTAGCTCAGTTGTGTAATAAGTTAATATGTAAACACTACGATAGAGCGTGTATGCCTGTGCTTGTATTTAATCACGCTCAACCCCAAGTCAATCTTTAGTTTAAAAACTGGAAGTTAAATTTATTATAAGTAAGGTAAGTAAAGGAAAGTTGTTTTTATACTCTACTTATTTCAACCTAGTTTTTGATTCTGGAATATTGCTTCATTCCATTATAAATAATAGAATTTTCATTTTATCACTTCTTATTAGTATAATAGTCCGCCGTAGAATGCAGCACAATGCAAGGAACTTTGAGTAGGCCTACTATGGGGTGGTTTGGCCATACTATTGTAAAAAATCTCCAGTAGTAGTCGTAGAAATAGTACAGTCCAAATCACCTTTGGAATAGCTTAATTTTAATCCATACTCGTAAATCCGGGTTTCGTTTTTACAAGTTTAAAATGCATTACTTAACAAATTTAAAATAACTTTTTAGCTTTCTGATAGCATAATAAAAGCGACGGGCGCAAACTAAAATGTATATTTAAAGGTGACGAGAAGAAGGAGAAAACAAGTTTAAATTTTAGTTTGTGCGTGCCCATCGCTTTTATTATGGTATATCAGAAAGTTAAAAAATTATTTTAAACTTTTAAGCGCAATTTATAAAAGCTTTTTTTAAATATTTTTTTTTTAGCGAAAAATGTCTGATGGATATAAAAGAAAACACCAAAGTGGACATGAAAAACGCAAAAAGAAAGAGAAAGTGAGTGAGTCGCTTAGTAAAATTTTAACGACGCTTCCAAGCAGGTGGTGCCTGAATCACTACCAACAACATCAGCCTCAAGTATTTTCAGTTCTGATCCAGCACGGTGGACAACCATAAGCGCAGATCTTATCGATTACTTCCCTCGTAATCACCCTGTGCAGAAATTGGATATAAATTTTAAGTTATACGCCACTAAATTTGGCGAAATAATGAGATGTCCATCACAAGATTATTTTTTCAGAAAACTGAACAACAATGATATTATAAAAAGGGACTGGTTGATATTTTCCGAATCTACTGGCAAGTTTTTTTGTTATAAATGTATTTTGTTCAAATCGGACCTACCTGGAAATCCAAACCTGTGTAACCAATTCCTTACAGGCTTTAATGACTGGAAAAACGCACATTCGAGAATTTCAAGTCATGAAGTGTCAAAAGAACATTTTGCATCTATTTCTGCTTTAGTGAACTACCAACAAACTAGAAAAAATTGATGAGACGTTTGATATTGTCAAGGAAAAAGAAAGCACATATTGGACAACGGTTTTAAGAAGAGTAGTGGAAGTAATTAAGTTTTTTGGCCGAAAGAGGGACTAGCGTTTAAGAGGCGATAATGAAATACATGGTGATCCTAGTAATGGCAATTTTCTTGGGTGTATCGATCTCTTAGCCAAATTTGATCCGTTTCTAGAAGAACATGTAAGAAGATGCGGTAATCCAGGCCGCGGAAAAGTATCATATTTATCCTCCACAACGTATGAAGAACTAATAATTTTACTGGGGTCAAAAGTATTGGAAAAAATAGTTACAGAAATCAAAGAAGCCAAGTATTATGGAATCACTGTGGATTCTAACCTGACGTTAGCCATACGGATCAACTCTCCATAGTTATTAGATATGTCTCAAAAACTGGAGATATATATGAAAGATTTTTGATGTTTGTTAAAATAGAAAAACATGATGCCAAGTATCTTTTTGACACTCTAATTTCAGTTTTAGAAAATCAGGGAATAGACCCAAAATTTTGCAGATGTCAGTCTTATGACAATGCGGCTAATATGAGCGGAGTGTATTCGGGAGTACAAACTAGATTTAGGGAAATCAACAGCGCAGCCACTTGGGTACCATGTGGAGCTCATAGTCTTAATCTAGTTGGCACAGCGGCGGCAGAAAGCTGCTTAGAAGCTGTAAAATTTTTTGAAATTTTGCAATCGCTCTACAATTTCTTTGCAGCGTCCCCTCAAAGATGGTCTAAACTAAGGTCTTTGGGAAGTAAAATTTCTGTAAAAAGACTTTCAGAGACCAGATGGTCAGCACGTTATGAGGCTGTAAAAACATTATGTGCCCATTATGATGATATACGTGGTATTCTTACAAATATTTCAACTAGTGAAGGTATGAAACCTACAACAGTGATTGAGGCACAAACCTTAATCCATCAAATGAATACTTTGGAGATGGTATTACTCACAGTTATTTGGGAAGATCTAAAACACGTCGATATTGTAAATAAATCTCTTCAAGAACCTGGCATCGAGTTTAACACGATGGTGCGACTTTACGACAGTTTAATTCAATATTTATCTCACTGCAGAACTGAGGACATGTATAATAGCTATTATCTTAAGGCAAAAGCCCTTGCACCAGATTCAGAATTTAAAGAATCCGAAACTAGAGTTCGTAAGAGAAACGACAGTTCGATGAAGGGCCAGATGAGACTCCCTCTCGCAGTGCCAAAGATTCCTTTAAGATTAATGTTTTTTTTATTGTTCTGGATGTGCTTTGCGCTGAAATGACAAAGAGACGCACGGCGTATACCAGCCTTTATGACACATTTAGTTTTCTTACGGATAATACACTGACCGAGGACATTATCAAGGTTAAGGCTCAAGCTCTGGTAAAAATGTATCCGTCTGACTTAGAAGAAAACTTTGTTGATGAGTATTTGATTTTTTCAAATTTGTACCCCAAAAAACCACCTCTATAACGGATCTCATCAAATTACAAATAAAGGATAAACTTGTGTCAAGTTTCCCAATGTTAATATTGCATTAGCGCATATACCTTTCGATATTGGGTTCGAATGCAGAAGGAGAAAGATCATTCTCCAAGTTGAAGCTTATAAAAAATTTTATGCGTTCAACTATGGGTCAAGAGAGAACTTCGTCACTGGGCCTTCTGTGTATTGAAAGTGATGTCGCTCGCGGCATTAATTTTGAAGATATAATACACGAATTCGCTGTGTCAAAATCCCGAAAAAAGGAGTTATTTTAGGATCTACTTAGTAAACCAAACGTTTTGTATTCGGTGTATTGTATTTAATATTATTTGCCTATATAATAAAAAATGTTTATAAGTTTGGGGTATTTTTACAAGAAAGCCCTTTCCTGAGGTAGACCCTAGGTTTGGTAATCTGGCTGGTGACTGTGGTGGCCAGGGGAGATGGGACAACTCATCCTCGTGCTCAGAAAACCAGTCCTGGACAATGTGAGCTGTGTGAACAGGGGCTTTGTCGTCTTGGAAGACACCATCACCATCGGGGAACAAAGTTTGTACCATGGGATGAACTTGATCGGCCAAAATATTCACATAAGTCTTGGCAGTCATGTGCCCTGACACAGTTCATTTGGGGCTAGCAGAGAACCACGATATGGCTGCCCAAACCAGAACAGAAACCCCGCCATGTTTCACTCTTGGCAACAAACAGTCTGTATTATAGGCTTGAGATGGCGTTCTCCAGACGTAAACTCGGCTAGAAGTGGGAAACAATGTGAAAGAAGACTCGTCAGACCATATTACTCGCTTCCACTGCTCTATAGTCCAGGCTTTATGACTTAAACACCACCTTTTCCTGTTACGGGCATTAGCGTCACTGATGAGTGGCTTCTCAATTGCAGCACGGCCAGCAATTCCCTGTTTATGAAGCTCCCTTCTAATTGTTTTGGTACTCACAGGGTTCGGTAACACAACATTCATTTCAGCAGTAACTTTTGCAGCTGTGGTCTTCTTATTTTTCGTCACAATTGCCCTTAATGATCGTCTGTCACGATCACTCAGGACACACTTTCGTCCGCCCTGTGATTTAGCAGATGATGTTTTTCCGCTTTTCAAATATGCGGAATAAATCTTCGATACAGTACCTCTTGAAACACTAAACACCTCGGCTACCTTGCTTACGGAAGCACCTACCATACGTGCTCCAACAATTTGCCCACGTTCGAAGTCTGTTAACTCTGACATAATGCAATGACAACCTCACATAACAGTACTCCGACAACAACTGAACTGTTTAGCACATTTACGAAGTTGTATAGGTGGCGTCAGTAGTCAAAAACGCCAGCACCACCTACATTTCATTAAAATCAATCTTTCTTTTCAAACATGCATTTTACAAGGTGTTTCCATATTTTTGTCCATCCACTGTATCTCATTGATATATTATAAATATAGCTTAAACATGTTTTATGTGCATACCCAAAGGTGTGGGAAGTAAGCCTTGATTCAAAATCTGTTTTAAAGCAATAAGTAAATAAATAAAATACACTGGTTCTATTAGAATGTCAAAAAATACTGTTATGTATTCTATAAACAAATCCAAATTATCACATCATACTATATAACCCTGGTACAAAAGAAGAAATGTCTGATTAGGAACATACTCTATTTATTTGGTAAAAAAGAAGAGTAAAACATATGCAACATCCCATTATGAAAAATCCTGCAAGCCATTACAATACTATAAGACATTGATTAGTAAGGTAAACATCAGTTGATCATTCTTTCACAACAGCAATAAATGTTTCATTTAAAATTCCTAATAACATGCCAAAACAGATTCACAATTGATGCCTCATTTAAGGTCACACAAAAGTAAATCCGATTTAGCTGACTATGAGATCTTCTATTGTAGAGGACTTTCTAAGGAGAACTGGCTTGTATTCACATTACACATGGGGAAAAACCACAAAAAAACCAACCATGCAGCCAGCCTGTTCGGAAATAGAACAGAAGATGGAACTCCCAGCATTCAGTAACTTTAACCATTCAGCTGTTGGTGGGCCTAATTATTATTCGAAGAGACAAACAGCAATTTTTCAGTGACAACTACTCTACTTTTTTACAGACAGAACTGAACAGCAAAAACTTCTTAAACTCTTGATTAGATTCTAGTTTACTTTCTTCCTTTTAAAAGCAGGAGATGCAAAACTTTGCCGCTGCTGCCTTTTATTTTGAAGAAGCTTCTTGAGACCAATTCCACGGGCAGTCAAATAATATTTTATTATCTTTGTTTTGATATTGCAACAGGAGGGAATATTTACCTCGCCTGCTTTCTTACAAATCATATTAACAAATTCCACATCCATAGTTACATTTCCATGTATTATTTCGTCTCGAAAATTTTGAATTATTTTTTCACACAGAAGGCACAATTTAAAAATTTCTGGAGAAGGACATTTAAGCCCACCTAAATTTGCAAAATTAATTATGTACTGCTTATTTTCATCAATGGAAGGAGTATTTTGCTCACAAACTAAGAGAAACTGTGAGCATGAATTACAAGCATTTTTCAAAACAGAATTTATTGCAGCTCCTGCAATATAACAGACGTTATTTTCCTCACTAAGGGTGAGATTCTGTAGAGATACATCAGAAACTTCTGGTATGGTAACAGGCTCTAAAGCTTTTTTCTCCTTCAGAAATTCAAATTCATCTTTCGCATAGTTTAATAAGTAAATATCTGAATCAGTAGCATAACTGGAGTTCTTAATGTCAGATATAAACTGAGATAAACAGATAAGCTTTAATGCTTTCACAGCTTGCAAAGCACTTGGCCTCAAACCAGCTTTTCTGCGTATCTGAGAAAATACATTTTCTAGAGCATCTTGTGTCAATCTGCTCGTCAAAATAAACTGAAAATCATTCAGAAAACATGCCTCTGCTAACTGTATGGCTGATAAAGTAGAAAGAATCAAACCAGTATGTAATGGTTTCCACCCTTTACCAATTTCTATAAGCTGTATAACATTAATAAATTCAAAAAGTAACTCAATTTTTTTTGCTTTTATTTGTCACAGAAATTGAGTTCTTTCTACATCTAGAGGATAGCATTTGAAACCACTGACATATAAATCTTATCCACCATGCTGTTGTAAGAGCATTAGGGCTTATCTCTTTTAAAGCTACTGCCTTCTCCAATCCCACAGCTGTTTTAATTGGAAAAAAACCTCACAGCAGAAGCAACATTCATTTTATCAAAATGTGAGGGGAAGAGGTCTTCTTTGCTGAGATGATGCATAGTTCTCAAACCACAATTTTGGTTTGTTTCAGTAATCCAGATATCTTTTATAAATCCTGCAGATACATGCAAAGTAACCAAATTTTCTTTATTGCAAACATAACTGGGCAGTTTTATACTATGATTAAGAGTTGCAGACCAGAGATTTTTTAAAAGATGTGGCACATCTGCAAATACATAAATAATTTTGCCCTTAATTTCAGTAGTGAAATTATTTCTTTGGTTTCGAGAAACAGATATTCCCAAAGAATTCCACAGGCTTCTATTTACTGCTGCCATATCGCTAACAATACCAACAACATTAAATCCAACAGAATTGACAGCTTCGATAACATTGACAACAAGTTGTTTTGAGCTGGCATCCTGTTACCTGTCCAGTTATCTCATGGGCAACCACTTGCTTCCATTTCAGCTTCAAACCTCTTAGTAAAATAACTAAATAGTGATTTCCTGCACCCTTTTGATTTCCTAATGTACATTTACCAATAAATTTACGTTTTGAAATATCAAAATCAGGATTGCCAGAAATCTCCATTTCATCCAATGATAAAATACAGTCTTTATCACTAGCATTCATTTTTTCTCCTTTAATTTTCAAAGGTTCAATCATCTCACTGATGACTCCAAAATTCATTTCAAGACCTTGAAGTCTTTTATTTAAAGTGCTGTATGAAGGCACGGAAAACCTATTCTGTGCAAGTAATTATAACCATGCTTGCCCAAGGCAAATCTAACTTTGAGGCCTTTTATTATTCCCTCGTTAGACCATTTTGCAATGCTTCTACGAGGAATTTTCAACATTGCTATTTGTTCATCTGAAAGAAATGTTTTCACTCCTTTCAGCAATTCCTCATGCTGTACTTGAAGGTCATGAAGTTGAATTTCAGTGCTATGCCATTTTTTTTTAAAACATTAATTTCATTTTTTTTTTGGTTGCTGTAAGTTCTTTCAGTAATATTTTGTTCTGGCATTGCAGAAGCGAGATCAATTCAGTCTGCTGTTTTATAAAATTCCTTAAAAGAACATCCTGGAATAAAGAAAAAATCTATATGAATAATCATCAAAGAAGGGGGGGGAAACACAACAAACAAACAAAAAAGATCTGAAAGGTTTCAGATTTTAAATTACACCCAAAGGGGCCTTTTTTTAACATTTTGTGTTTTACCTTTATTTATTAAATATCAAGTTTTTCACACTTAAACTATAAAATTCAGTTCAACAGCAATATTGCAAGATAATTTTAAAATGAACATATCTTCAGAATTCCCGATTCATTGTCTCACACGCTGGAGATAAAAGTGTCTTTTCTGTACAACATTGCCATTGCTCGCTTTGAAATCCTCAAGTTTGTTAATCAAAAATTCGTTAAAGTTTTACAACATATAAAATATATATTAAAACAAATTCCGAATTTCAAATTCGGTCTTCCAGATGTCCATATTCACAGTAGAATTAAGTCATTCAAAATTTGATGGCTCTAGGTACTGTTGTTTTATCAGAATGCAAAAAAACATACATGCATTTATGCAGATTCTTCACTATATAATTTCTTTAAATATAGAACAGGGTGATAATATTTGGTGGCAACAATTTGAAAAGTGATGCAGCCGTTTTATAGTGTTTCAATACAAAACGAAAACAATAGTCCTTCAGGGACAAAGCCCCTTTGGATTAAATGTCAAACTTAAACAGATAATAATAAATCCACAAAATAAAAATGCAAGTTCCAGGTCTCTTTTCCTATACTGTGGTGGGTTTTTAAATTTGACTCTATTGTTTTTCAGCATTTTCTAGATTATTTTTGTTTTATTTTCTAATATTTAAAATTTATTTCACTTAAAAATAGATTTTTTTTAAAATTTATTTTTAAATTTATTTCCAGCTTTTCAAGGGATCGATTATCTCCATAATCATGAGCAATTTAATAACACAAATTATCAACTTATATCACAGCCTTCACAAATGCTGATGAAATTAATTAAAATTAATTACAATTTGGTTGCAAGATGAATCTAAAGGTTGTTTTTGCAAACAAAACTGAAATTTACATAGAGAATTTGCAACTATTGATGAAATTAATTACATTCCTTTTACCAAAAAATTACTTTATAGAACATTTTAAATGCATATAAGGAAGCAATTTAATTATACATTAGTTATCAACTTACATCAGAGCCTTCACAAATAGATGGTATTTCATTGCAAAATGAGGCTAAAGGCTGTTCTTGCAAACAAACCTGAAATGTACACAAAGAATTTGTAAATGCTGATGAAATTAATTACATTCCTTTTACCCCCCCCCAAAAAAAAGTTAATAGAAACGTTTTGTATAAGCAAGCAATTTAATAATACACTAATTATCTACTTACATGAGATCCTTCACAAATAGATGGCATTTTATCACAAGATGAAGTTGAAGCTTGTTCTTGCAAACAAACCTGAAATATATATATAAGAAATTTAGAAATACAGATAATATAAACTACATTCATTTTAAGAAATAATTATTTTACATAACATTTTATAATTCATAAATAGATAATAAATTGTTAACACTCAAAATTCAAAAATAATTCCATAGCACAACAGCCAGATATAGTACAGCTGTTTAGCAACCATAAGACAAACAATTTCATATTTCAGAAATCGTATAAAAATTCATTAATATATGTAAAACATATGACATTTAATAGCTGCTCAAATGAAAACATAGAATAGATTCTTTACTAGCAGCTGTTATTTAATCAGAAGGTAATGCTAAATGTTGTTGCAAACACACCTGAGATGTACTGTAATGTACACATTTGCAACCACTGGTGAAATGAAATAAAGTGCATGATTATGAAGATGGAAACATTTAAAAAAACATAGTACAGTTTACGAATAGATGTTAAAAAACTATTAAAATTTTTTAGAAGTGCAAAATGGCAATTTACATCAGATACTTCGGCAGCAAAATTTATTTCTCCAAAATATGAAGCTGAAGGTTGTGGCAAATGAACCTAAAAGAAATTATAATATATGAAATATGTGGAAGTGAAAGAAATTATAAACTCTGATCGGATAAAAATAAATACAAATAATCATTACCATTTTCAAAGTAACTCAACTTATAAAAAAGCATAAATACATTGGACTGTTCATAGCATTCATACTTCTTAAACATAAGTAAATATTACGTTAATATATTTTTAAATTTTAGAAACAGTGTTAATACTTTTTAGAAAAAGTTTATAATACTAAATATTTAATAACTGTTCAAATGAAGACTTACAACAGATGGTTCAGCAACAGAAATCGCTTCAGTTGATAAAGGTAAACTGTGCAGCAAGCCACCCTGAAGATGCAAAAATTATGAAACACATATAAGTAAGGATACCTGAAAATGCTGATAAATAAAATATACTTAATGTAATTTTAATAATAAATAATATAAATAATCCTAATAAGTTTTGTAAATCTTTAAACAAAAAATAACAACATTCAGACAAGACATATAAGACATTAAAATATACATTTAAATCAATGTATTATAACTATATTATTGTATTACTCAAGATTAAAGTTATTAATTTCAATATTATTTCTTTTACTTACTCCATACATATTTCTCTCTATTTATCTGGAATTTAAAATTAAGCAAAAAAGCAACTTTAGTTTAATACAAATTTTGATTTAAACTCTTTTGACTTTGAAGGCAATCAGATACCGGTTTCTTTCTTTTAGGAGCAAATTTGAAGAAACCAGACCCATGTATGACCGTCCTCGAAAAACTACAAAAACTTTATCCAAAAACTACATCAAATTGAGGTTTTATGCTTAATTTTCAATATATGATTATAATAACAAAGTACATACTTAATTATATATATAACAACAGCAAAATTTTAATTTTTTAATCTAATCTTAGGGACTGTAATTACAGCTTTATCACATAATGCCTTAATTTCAATATTTTGATTCTTTTATAAAGCAATTTAGTCCATTTGTAATAAAAACATATTTTTTTATGAAAAACCATAAAAATAAAAAAACACATACATTACAAAAATTGGATGTAACTGAACGGTGCTTTGGTAAACCAATGCCTTTTAGACGCTGTGGGGTCAACAGTTGTGGGGGATTAGGCACATTGAAAAGAGTTGGCACAGCATTGGGCTTGAGTTTTTTACGCCCATCTTGCCTAGAGCATTCAAATTGATTTTCTTCAAAATGTACCTGCATATTTAACAAAAGCATGCATGAAATTTAACATTAAAATCAAAAGCACTAGTATTAAATTACAGTTACATATATTATAATAATTTAAGAATGTAATTTTCTGATAAATTTAAATTTTTTTTATGAAAATAGAACAAAATTTTTAAAAAGTAATCATGTTTGTAAAACTACTTAAAACATATTTCCTGCTCACACACTAAAAATAAATTTAAAGTACCTATAGTTAAAAATACAACATTAAGATTTACTACTACAATAAAGGATAATAATGGGATCAAAACGATTCATCGAATATTTAAATTAATATTTAACTTCTTAAAAATGTCTAAAAATACAGAATATATTTATCTTACTATAAAGAAAAAACAAAATCATTTATTATTTGGATCATACCATCCAGTTTTTAACATTGGCGCCAACTATCCGATTTGGCGACAATACATCAGAATCAAAACATAGAATGCTACTTTAAATCACCAATCGTACAGTAAAATTAAAGAAAAGAAAAAGGCACATCACATTTCTAACTGAGCACAAAGTTTACATGAAATGTATGATACAAATTTTACAAACGGTATAAACTTTTCACGATAACAAAAGAAACAACATGAAACAACGATATTTTACTGCACAAACACATACACATTCCGCAGTTGATTTTGTACTTATAAAATCAGTTGATCGTCAATAAGTGACAGTTAAATGAAAATAAATATTTTAAAGTACCAAGAAGAGTAATTTTTCTAACATTCTATGGAAAAATACGAAGCTGAACTTACCTCACAAAGATACGCTCCTGGGCCCGGGATCCATTGATCTCGACGAGAATTAACTATCCATTTTCTTCGTCTTTCTTCATTTCTAGGGAAACGAAACATCCTAAAGTTATTTTTAGACTGATTCGAACAATTTGGTGCAGCACAACCACCCATTTTTCTGAAAATTAGGTCGGAATCGATCCACAAATATGTCAAGAAATCAGTGCTAATCCAATAGCGAATACCAACAAGTTAGCTTCAAAATGGATGATGATTCAGCTCCCCTTTATAGTAGCCTTA